TAGAGAACACATTGGTTCCCTCTTTTGAATGGATTTCTGCAAGGTCTTCCCAGCTAGATTATCAGAACCTATTCTTAGTAGTTACAATAGGTAGACAATCATGAGGTTCATCTTATTTTTTTCACAACACTCACTTTTCTCATGTAATCCTGTTGCTGAAGTGCCTTCAGCAGTTACAGTTTATGGTAGAGAATTCAATTTATGGTCCTGGCTCTTGTGTTTAAGGTCCTTCATTTCTGGAGTGTCTTCTTAGTCATGTGATGTGACTTCTATACACACAAATATTTTACTCTGTTTCTAATTTCTTGCTTGTGTCATGATTTTTTCTCTTTGCAAATGCCAAGGTAAGAGACTCAGCTCATGTTGCTCCCTTTTCGAAGCACTCTTTCTCTTCAGGAGATATGCAGTAACTAGGAAAGGTACATTTCATTTTGTATCCCAAAATGTTGTATAGTATTACTACCCACTGCAAGCAGATGCTGCATTTCACCTCCAAGGAGATGAATTTCAGAGATGAATGGAGTGAGTCTACTGGATAGTTTGTATATCAGTTTATTACACAAACTGGGATACTTGAGGAGGAACATTACTAGAGACCATAAATGTAAGAGTTATTCTACTATAGACCATCTGTCATGCAAAAACTCTTTCAGTGATTCACAGTTAAGGAGAGTTGGCCTGGATGGTCACCTCTCCTGGGAAATAATGGGGGAAATGCTAGTGTATCTAAATACTCAACAACTCTAAGAAACAGAAAGATGCTTTCCAGCATTTTTAATATTGTGACCATTGCTACAGCATTAGTTGGCTGCCACTGGCTCATTCAGTCTGCCTCATATTTCCTGAATTTGCTGAAAGTTAGTTTAGATCATTAAATATACTGACTGTAAAACACCCTTATTCAGGAATTGTATGCATTAAGCTATACCTAATAATCCCTGGCACCAACATGTTCACAGAACCCCAGATAGTCTACCTAATGCAAATAAAGGACATATAAACCAGAAGGATTGATGATTGTTACAGCAGATGTTTCCTGTTGGGGAAACAATAGGGAAGAATGCTATTGGGGGAAAAAGGATCCACTGAAAGATATTATCTTGAAGAACATCAGGGCTCTCAGCCATAAATAATTATGCCTTCATGCATAAAATCAGGTAAACTAAGAGTTCACAGATATTAAAGGAAACCCTATCAGACCATATGAAAGGACATCAGAAAATATGGTCCTGGCAGGGGATTTCTGGCAAAGATGGATCTCTTTGTCTAAAAACCTATTTAAGGACACAAGTTGTGGAATTTAGTTGGAGAATGAAACTGCGCATCCCACCAGTTCCAGTGAAGAAGAAGAAACAAAGCCAGCTCTTTATCTTACATCAGGAGTGGCAATGGATCTATCTTTCTATATTCTATATAGCACTAAACTAATTTCTGACTGATAATAAATAATTGATATTGAGCATGTTATTCAATAATGTCAACTCATCATTAACTCCAGATATACAAAAATGAAGACTTCTATTCTCATGTGAGGACAGATTATGTGATACTTGTGAGAGACAATGTGGTCTAGTCTAGTGGAGTAGATTTTTAGTACAGTCTCTATCACGGACTTCCTGTGTTGTACTGGACAAGTCACTTATGCTGTCAGTTTCCTCATCTGTAAACTGGGGATAATGATACTAACACACATCACAAGTGTGTTGAGAATGATAATTAGTTGACATTTGTACAGCACTGCTACAGCATGCTGACTATAGGATAATTAATTGACGAGCAAATTTCAGCAGCATGGAACACGCATATAGATATCAGAGACTATTTTGGTATAATCTGTCTAATATAATGAATACTCATGCTCAGACACTGGCAACAGACAGTTTGGAACACTGCCAATTGTGTTTTGACACATATAATTGACCATCTGACTGATGATACTCATATATGTGATGAGGTCAGCTGGATGCCCCTCAGCTTCCTTTAGGTCATCATTGCTCTACTCAAGAGGACTTCATGAAGCTATGGAATAAATGACTTTTTCATAGCACACCATTCAAAAAGATAAGGGTCATTAACACCTTCCAACATAACACACACACACACACCTCATCTCAGCTCTGCCCTCATCCCAATAGAACTGAAATGTCTACACTATAAATAATTTAGCTTCCAGAAAGAAAAAAAAGATTTACCAAATTAAAACTTATTCAAGCTTACGTATTTATATAACTCACCATATTTATATACATTCCTGAAATAGAGAAGGATACGGTGTTGTGAGGGAGAGGGGAAAGGAAAGGCTTTGGTGTGTGCAACAAACTCCGCTTACAGACACAACTAAATGTGCAGTTCTCTACTGTTGCAGATTAGGAAACCGAGGTTTAGCCAGAAGCAATGATTTGCTCATCATCTCATGGTGAGTCAATGATAGAATGGGATCTGATGCATGAAGCGAGTTCATATCACAGAACTACAACAATGATGAAATGGTCAGCTGCAATAAAAGCTGATGACATGTGGTCCTCCGTATTGCCATACATATTTGTAGATACAGAAAGGGTTAATAAAAATGTACATATTTCAAGCCTCTGAACATCATTCACACTTTCTATCAATACTATGTTTATCTGCAGTGAGAACAATAGGATTTGTAAGGGGCCATTATAAACCAGCCTTGTTGGACAAATATACAATACATGATGGAAAAGGGCTGGTGGGACTTTAATCAATTTCTCAGTCAAATAAATGTCACATTAGATGTAAGCCATACTCCATTTTGAGGGTCTCTGCTCCCCTTGATGCACAAGCCTGACACTGCTACTAACATAAACAGTTCTATACATATACACAGACTCCAACCAATATTCATTTGTATATGTAGCAAATACATCAGAGTGAAAGTGGAGCTGGACATTGTAATTTATGAGTACGGGAAACCCTATAATGAAAGAGAAAGAGGAAAATAACGAAATATGGGGACCTCATAAGCATGATAGGCAAAAGCTATAATTTCTCTTATGTGGAAAAAATGTTCCATTTTTACTTCAGCAACCTAGCAAATGTTGTGAGTCAACTTTAAAGCTCAAAGTTACATGTTGTAATGTTTCATACCAACCAGCCAACACTCTGTGGGATGCCAGAATGTTTCAGCACACAACTGAAGAAATGAAAAATTTCCACCCCCTTTTCAGGTCTTTGTTGAAAAAAATCACAGAATCAAAAAAACTTGCAGATGCGTATAACTTTGTATAAACTTGTGTATAAACTTGCAGATGTACATTCTTCCAGCTAATTAAAAAAGGGCTGCTTGTTACATTGTTTTTCTTGCAAACAGTTTTTAACAGTCAATTGTTCTTCCATGGAATATGTGGAAAAAGTGGAACACATCTTAAAAACCCCAAAGTTTGGATCTGGAGTTTTAGGCCCAACTGTTCAATATCCAGTAATTTTGCATTTCCAACTTAAGAAATTTTGAGCCCCATTTTCAGAGATGTCCCCTTCAGTTGAAGTCTATGAGAGCTGCAGATTCTTAATGCCTCTGCAAATCAGATTCAAAGGGCATCAGTGTAAGAAGGCACCCATAAATTGAGGGACAAAAAGTTAGTTGACACTTTTGAAAATTTTGTCCTTAGTGCTGACTTATCTCTAATTACCTGTCACAATTATAGCTGCTTGGCAGTATATTGTATTAGATAATCTTACTGTTTAATAGAATCATTAGATTTCCCAATGCTAATGCATTATGAAATATTAGGAAAATGTGAATTTGTTTAATTAAAAAACCACTATATCCTAGAACTTGGCAACATATTTAAAAAGCAAACCTCAAACCATGAGGATTTTACATTTTTTCTGCCCCGGATCTCAAAAAACAACTCCCTAGATTAAAGCAACTTTTTTTTTCAATGAAAAAAAAGCCATTGAGCTGACAACTTACATACCAACAACCAAGCCCAAGTGAATCAAAACTGCTAAGAAAAAGCCCTGCATAACACAGGTTTGCAAAGGAAACCACGGACAGATTTTTTAACTCTGGCATGGTTGTGCAGAGATGCCTTGCAAGTGTTGATAGTGGGAGGAGGGGAGGAGAACACAATTTAAACAGCTTTCAAACTTTTTGAGCAGAGCTCCCCCCCCCTTGAATTAAAAATATTGGTTGCACCCCCTAAGCCAGACAAAAGGTGAATTGGGTGGAAGTGGTGCTCCCTTTCCAGTCCCACTTGGTTGAAGCCCAAGGCGTCTGGAGGCAGCACTCACCCTCCCCAAAACGCTCCTCCACACTCCCAAGGAGATGTGTCCCAAAGTTTGAAAATCTCTGATTTAAAAGTTCTGGTGGTATGCAGCAGGCCTCAGGGCTGGGATATGAACCTTTGTAGAAATTGGGAGGCGCATATGACCCCTCATGCATCTTCTCTGTTGTTGGGGCATGCTAAAGAAACTATATTACATATACCAAGATTTAAGGAAAGCTATGCTAATTGTCAGTCATACACATTGGTGTTAATGTAAGCAGTGTGGACTTGCATACTGCTGCCAAGTTGCAGTTGCAGGAATCCCAACAAGCACAGGTTGAAATGCTAATGAAATGTTTTTTGTATCTGCTCCAGTCTTGCATGATGTGGAATACAAGCTGCTTTGTGCTGAACAAGACCTCTGGGATGGGATAATACCCATTAGGAAATCTTAGCAGGTTTTCCCCATATCTAACACAAATCTTCCATCCACTGCTTTCCTAATTCAGTCCAGAAATGACCATACCACTTCTGCACATCCTTCCTCTTTTCTTCATCACACAGTAGAAATGAATCATTCGGAGTCTCACAAACTGATGCTGAACAGAAGTTTGGGACAATTAGCTAGAACAAAGATACACACGGAACACCAAGCCTTGCAGTCAAAGAGACCTATAAAATACTTCACAGGGGCTTCAGATTTGCTTGAATAGGTCTTGAATAAAAATGCAACTGGCCACTGAGAGGTACAAAATGCTTAGTACTTACATGAAAGCCAGGAAAGGTTCCTTCAGGAAAAGAGCACAAACTGATCGTCAAGGATCTGAGGGGAAAACAGAAAAAACAGCATGAAGAAATAAAGTAGGTATAAATAAACTACGTGATACAAAAAATAAAAAGGAGACCCAGGAGCCTCAGTGATTCTTGCAATTGCTGCAGAAAAAAATAAATATTTCACTTCACACATCACACAAACCCTGGAAACTCAGAAAATACCAGAAGCTGGGGACTGGATAGCACAGAGGATTGGTAATAGGCATGGGAGCCTTTTATCCCTAGGATGCTAGTTTGAATCCATTCCAAGTCAGCAGAGATTAAGTGATGTTACCATCTGCTGGTTGTTCTGTTGCTTGTGTGAAATAAGATGGTGGTCCCTGTGGACAGGTGTTCTCTTCACAAAGCTCACCACCATAATTGGCACTAATTGGCCTCCTTGTCAGTAGTCTCAGCAGAGAGGTTAAGGATTAAATTGGCCACAGAGAGTGAACTTCTCTTCTTGGCCCTAGATAGAGACCCTCCAGATTAGAAGTGAGGGCACATTATTGGGGCAGAATGGTGAGGAAGCTTACACCACAGCTGCTTGTTTTGGGAAAAATGGCAGAATGTCAGCCTCTTCTGTCTCTGACCTAAAACTGATGCATTACCTATAGCTTAAGGAGAAAAGAGATTGTTATTTCAAGAGTCATGCAAGGCACTGCATTTAGCTGTATGGAGTGGAAATCTATCAACCTTGCATCTGACAAAGTGGGTCTTTGCCCACTAAAGCTTATGCTCCTACACTTCAGTTAGTCTATAAGGTGCCACAGGACTCCTCGCCGCTTATTTCAAGAGAAAATATTTGGAAAAACTACTGCCTTGTGGTAGTCTAAGTACTTTGCAAAATGCAGCCTCTCTGGATTTACTAATATATGTTACGGATTATCTGAGATATACTGTAAACCTGTTGTCCAGCACATATTAATATCGAATGAAATCATGAATTTGAGTCAAACCCTGCAACTCTGATGAACTGTTCCAAGTGGATGATTTGTTCCTATCTGAGAACGAAAGCAAACATTTATACAAAAGACTGATGTTTTGAAGTAGCCATATCATCTCACTGAGATGGTTTGAAGAGCACAGAATTCCAGTGTGTTTTAAATCAAAACTAATAGGTGAGTGGTAAAGCAAGAGTAGGCGCTTGAAAGAAAACATATTTATTCTCAGGAGATAAGGAGGAGAGAAACATATTTAGCATTCTTGAGCCAACAAAAGACTTCACAGAATGGTCTACTTCCCCAGATCCAGGTTCTGAAACAACCTGGATTCAAACAGCATATTAATGCCTTCATTCTTGAATATATTGAGGAAGATGAAGTAGGAGTGGTGATGGTGGTGAAGGAGGAATGGAGATTTGATGTTGGGAGGGAAAAGGTCTTAAACACTGCAGCAATTGTGTGCATAGGGAGGCTGGGAGAGCAAATTCTGGCCAGGAAGAAAAGTTGAGTGGGGAAGAGGAGGAAAGAACCAAAGAAGCTGGTGGATTAGCAAGAGGGAAGAAATAGCTAGAATTCCCATTTAGAGAAGAATCACAAGTAGAATCATTGGGCTGGAAGAGACCTCAGGAAGTCATCAAGTCCAGCCCCTTGCCCAAAGCAGGACCAACCCTATATCATCCCAGCCAGGGCTTTGTCAAGCCGTGACTTAAAAACCTCTAGGGATAGAGATTCCACCACTTCCCTAGGTAACACATTCCAGTACTTCACTACCCTACTATATCCAACATAGACCTCCCCCACTGTAACTTGAGACCATTGCTCCTTGTTCTGCCATCCATCACTAATGAGAACAGCTTTTCTCCATCCTCTTTAGGAAGGTGAAGGCTGCTATCAAATCCCCCCGCCCTCACTCTTCTGTTCTGCAGACTAAATAAACCCAAATCTCTAAGCCTCTCCTTATAGGTCATGTGCTCCAGCCCCCTAATAGTTTTGGTTGCCCTCCACTGGACCCTCTCCAATGCGTCCACATCCTTTTTGTAGTGGGGGGCCCAGAACCAGACACAATACTCCAGATGTGGCCTCACCAGTACCGAATAAAGGGGAATAATCACTTCTCTAGATCTGCTGGCAATGTTCCTCCTAATGCACCTTAATAGTTAGAATTTTTTTTTTGTCCTAGACATCGAACACTCTGGTCATCTGAAGAAGTAGACTGTGTCCACAAAAGCTCATGATACCATCTACATGTTTTGTTAGTCTATAAAGTGCTACCAGACTTATTTGTTGTTCTTTCAGTTTTCCTAATATGTCATTAGCCTTCTTGGCTACAAAGACACACTCATATCCAGCTTCTCATCCATTGTAATCCCCAGGTCCTTTTTTGCTGACCTGCTATATAGCCAGTCGGTTCCCAGCATATAACAGCGCTTGGGATTCTTCCATCCCAAGTGCAGGACTCTGCACTTGTCCTTGTTGAACCTCATCAGATTTCTAGTACTTCAGGCTAGCTAGCAAATTGCATATAGCTTGAGTGAGACTAACCAACAAACAGGAAGAACTGGAGGCCCTGGCCCAGTCCAAGAAATATGATTTAATTGGGATAACAGAGACTTGGTGGGATGACTCGCATGACTGGAGCGCTGTCATGGAAGGGTATAGACTGTTCAGGAAGAACAGGCAGGGGAGAAAAGGAGGAGGAGTTGCACTATATGTAAGAGAGCATTACGATTGCTCTGAACTCCAGTATAAAGAGGGAGAAAAACCTGTTGAGAATCTAGGGGTTAAGTTTAAAGGAGCAAACAACAGCAGTGATGTTGTGGTTGGTGTCTGCTACAGGCCACCGAATCAGGTGGATGAGGTAGATGAGGCTTTCTTCGGACAACTGAGCGAAGCATCCGGATCTCAGGCCCTGGTTCTCGTGGGGGACTTTAATCACCCTAACATCTGTTGGGAAACCAATACGGCAGTACACAGGCAATCCAGTAAGGTTTTGCAGAATGTTGGGGATAATTTCTTGACACAAGTGCTGAAGGATCCGACCAGGGGCCGTGCGCAGCTTGACCTTCTGCTCACAAACAGGGAGGAACTAATGGGGAAGTAGAGGTGGGTGACAACCTGGGAAGTAGTGATCATGAGATGGTAGATTTCAGGATCCTGACCAAAGGAAGAAAAGAGAGTAGTAAAATACACACCTTGGACTTCAAAAAAGCAGATTTTGACTCCCTCAGAGACCTGATGGGCAGAATCCCCCGGGATGCTAACATGAAGGGGAAAGGAGTCCAGGACAGCTGGCAGTATTTTAAAGAAGCTTTATTGAAGGCACAGAAAGAAACCATCCCGACGCGTAGCAAGAGAGGCAAACATGGTAGGAGAAGGCTTACAGGGGAAATCCTTGGTGAACTTAAGCACAAAAAGGAAGCTTACAAAAAGTGGAAACTTGGACAAATGACCAGGGAGGAGTTTAAATGTATAGCTCGAGAATGCTGGAGGGTTATCAGGAAGGCGAAAGCGTAAATGGAATTGCGACTGGCTAAGGATGTGAAGGATAACAAGAAAGGTTTCTACAGGCATGTTAACAAGAAGAAGGTGATCAGAGAGGGTGTGCGGCTCCTAATGGATGAAGGGGGAAACCGAGTGACAGATGATGTGGGGAAAGCTGAAGTACTCAATGCTTTCTTTGCCTCTGTATTCACGGACAAGGTCGGCTCCTGGACTTCTGTGCTAAGTGACACAAGATGGGATGAAGATGGACAGCCCGTGGTGGGTAAAGAACAGGTTAAGAACTATTTAGAAAAGCTAAACTTACACAAATCCATGGGTCTGGACTTAATGCATCCAAGGGTACTGAGGGAGTTGGCAAATGTCATTGAGGAGCCTTTGGCTATTATCTTTGAAAAGTCGTGGAGATCAGGAGAAATCCCGGATGATTGGAAAAAGGCAAATGTAGTGCCCATCTTCAAAAAAGGGAAGAAGGATGATCCAGGGAACTATAGGCCAGTCAGTCTTACCTCGGTTCCTGGAAAAATCATGGAAGGGATCCTTAAGGAATCCATTTTGAGGCACTTGGATGAGAGGAAAGTGATTAGGAATAGTCAGCATGGATTCACAAAGGGCAAGTCGTGCCTGACCAATCTGATTAGCTTCTATGATGAGGTATCTGGCTCTGTGGACGTGGGAAAGTCAGGGGATGTTATATACCTTGACTTTAGCGAGGCTTTTGATACTGGCTCCCACAATATTTTGCCAGCAAGTTAAGGGAAGGTGGATTGGATAAATGGACAGTAAGATGGATAGAAAGATGGCTAGAAGGCCGGGCCCAGCGTGTAGTGATCAACGGCTCGATGTCAGGATGGCGGGCAGTTTCTAGCGGAGTGTCCCAAGGTTCAGTTCTTGGACCGGTTTTGTTCAATATCTTTATTAATGACCTGGATGAGGGGGTGGATTGCACCCTCAGCAAGTTTGAGGATGACACTAAGCTGGGGGGAGAGGGAGATACGCTTGAGGGCAGAGATAGGGTCCAGAGTGACTTAGACAAACTGGAGGATTGGGCCACAAGAAATCTGATGAGGTTCAACAAGGACAAGTGTAGAGTCCTGCACTTGGGATGGAAGAATCTCAAGCATAGTTACAAGCTGGGGACCAACCACTTAAGTAGTAGTTCTGCAGAAAAGGACCTGGGAGTTACAGCGGATGAGAAGCTGGATATGAGTCAACAGTGTGCCCTTGTAGCCAAGAAGGCTAATGGCATATTAGGTTGCATTAAGAGGAGCATTGCCAGCAGATCCAGAGATGTCATTATTCTCCTTTATTCGGCTTTGGTGAGGCCACATCTGGAGTATTATGTCGAGTTCTGGGCCCCCCACTACAAAAAGGATGTGGACGCATTGAGAAGGTCCAGCGGAGGGCATCCAAAATGATTAGGGGACTGGAGCATATGACTTATGAGGAGAGGCTGAGGGTCCTGGGTCTGTTTAGTCTGCAGAAGTGAAGAGTGAGGGGGGATTTGATAGCAGCCTTCAACTTCCTGAAGGGAGGCTCCAAAGAGGATGGAGAGAGGCTCTTCTCC